GTGTCAGTCTCCCTTTGCCCATCCTGCGAGGCCTTATCTGGGCTCGGAGATAGCAGGATCTCCTTCAGTTTCAGGTTCCCCCGGGTTCTGGTCTGCCCAGATATCATACTCCTGTAGGACATGAATCAAAACTTTCACAATTCTTGCCACCAATATCAGTTCCTTTTTCTTCACACTCCGCACATAAACCATTTTTGCTCATCCTCTTGTAATCTGATAACCCAGGCATAACTGCAAGAAGAAAAGATAGAGCAGAAAGCAGAGATAGGAAGGAGCTGTTGCTATGTCTCTTTAAAAAAAAAAAATGAACCGGTTTCCTTCAGTGCAGAGCTAATTCTGAACGCTGCACTGAATGCTCTCATGTAGAACTATCCCACGTACACTGCCAGCCAATATGTGACGAATGCAGTACCCGACCCCTGCCCTTCTCACCAACTTGTGACAAAGGACCAGCCAATCTCACATTGCGCTGTCACTTGCGTAACAGCGCCACTCTCAGCTGCATCCTGCACAAAGATTTTCCAGCTTGCGGGACTACAATCTATGTGTCAGCAGCCTGAGAGCGATTGTCACTGTGTTAATTACGCAATTAACCCTTCAAACTCCAAACTGCCACCGGATAGCTTTGGGACTATCAGCCCTTCACAATATTAGCAAAAATTGTGAACAATAAACGCCTGTAACACACACTGTCACCAGGTAGATTCAGAGGATTATTATATACAGTAGCACTCTTCAAGAGACAGGGATTCTTTAGTTTGCATTAAAAGCCTTAGAGATCATTTTAACACTTTTCAAAATAGGATTTATTAATAAAAAGGTCAAATGATGCAATTAAAATATTTAAAGAAATGGATGTTACAAAGAAATAAAGAGAGCAATAATGCAACAGAGAAATAAAAGAAAGGAGTTAAGAAGGCAGAATACTTGCAAAGTCCTGGTTTTAGCAGAGTCCAATTGTCAAAGCAAAAAATGTTGCTGTGGCTCTCAAGTCCGTTAAGATGTTCCTCGGTTGATGGTAAAACTAGAGCTTAAACTTAACAAGTTCTGTCAGTCCCTTTTCTGTGATATCAAGGGGGTGTGGACAGAGACCAATTTACCAATAAGGGATGGGTGCTGGGAGGCCACTACATTTATGACCAGTGCCCAAATGCAGTTTTACACTAATATTAATAACTTCCAATATGTGCAGGTGGTATTCTAGCAACTGGCAGATTAATATTCAGAATTATATTTTTTGAACCCAGGGATACCAAACACAGCATACCTTGTCACTTAGGAGGCAGGAGACTGCTTTCTCACCTTTCCTATGTGCTAACATAGTGATGTATGACCTTGATTTGTTCGATAGGATATTCCCTATTCAAATATATATAATAAATATATACCAAATATTAATGTGTTCTGTTCCTGTTGAATTCTATGAATAGTATGTGTAATTGTTACGTTATGGAATAGATGTTTTATGGCATGCTGTGCATTCCTAGAGGCTTAATGGCCTTACAGGTCATGTGTGACAATGGGAAGTGTTTTCCCATGGTTTGTGGAAACAGACATACTGCCAAGACTAATTAGCTGTTTACAGCTCTGGCCAGGTCTGGAGCGTGGCCTGGCCCTGCACCCCACTTCCTCCTCACTGGTTGTGATTGACAGCAGCAGGAGCTATTGCCTTCCCTTGCTTCCTCTGAGCTTTTGAGGAGAGAGCCGCTGCTCTTGTGCACAATGCTGGTTCGAGATCGGGCTCAGTTAAGTATAAGGTGGGGAGAGTAGAATACAGAAGGTTTTTGCATTCATGTAAAAAACCTTCTAGCTTTACATCCATTTTAATAAGCCTCTCATATCCTACCTGTCACGAACGTGGCGTCAGACCACAGCCCTTCTCACCAAACTCGTGACCGAAGGACTAGCCAATCTAAAACCGCGCTGTCAAGTGCGTAACAATGCCACACTCAGCTGCACCCTACACAACGATTTTCCAGCTAATTGGACCACAATCAATGCACCGGCAGCTTGAATGCGATTGTTACTGGGTCAGGTAATTACTCAATAAACCCTTCACACTGCCACCACCTCCTTTTTGTACAGAGAAAGTGGAAACTCTGCAATATCGGCTATAACACTATAATGGTTGAGATAATCGTCTGTATAAAACGGTCACCGCAGGCCGGTTATACATAGGGTTAAACAAACACAGTAGCATTCTCTTTATTGCAATTTACGAATTCCTGCCTCTAAAGAGCTATAGAAACAGTTCAACACTTTCAGAAGGAAAGATTTATTACTAAAAGGTCAAACGGGTGCAATAAAAATATTTACAGAAAAAGATGTAACTAAGATATATATATATAAAAATATACAGAGACCAACAGCACATCAAAGAGATATCAGAGAGAGGTGAAAGGGTTAAGGTACTTGCCAAAGTCCTGGGTTAGCAGATCCAAGTTTCAGAGCAAAAGGGCACGGGTCTCCCCAGGTGGTACTGATGTTAAAATGGGAGACGTCTTCAATTTCACTCTCTTAGGCCTGACAGCCCATTTTGTAGTTCCCCAGAAGGGGGTGTCTCTGAAGTCAAGGACCAATACCCCGTTTAGGGCGTGGAGGTCTGGGTGGATACCTCAACTAGAGCCAAATTCTCTCGTAACTCATATTTTGGCCCATAACTTTCCATCTGCACAAGTGACATTCCACCCGCGGGTAGATTATTATGCAGACACGTCTGAGGATTGATTAGATATGAATTATGAAATTATACACTGCACGGTTCACGAGATCTAATTTTTGGCTTTCCTGTGTATTCGGGACAAGGCGAGTGACCTACCAAAATGTTCGTCTCCTCTTAGCCAATCTGACGATATGTCCGGTTTTATGTAAGTCTCTCATATTCCAATATATGAGACATAGGGGAAAAATGGATTTTAACAAACGTTATCTGGTCGTGTTTCCTTGGAATGTCCTTTGAACTCCTGGGTAAATCTTGCCTTATCTTATATGAGGTGTTACATTTTACAGGTTCTTTGGACAGCGAGGACCCGACTCCCTTGGGGGTCCTATAGCTCATAGCCCCCCTGCTGGCTCTGGCCTGTGACACTTTTAACACACATGCTGCCATATGTCACTGTGCCTCTCAGAGAGGGAGGGGGGAGGAATGAGGGAATAACATGGATACTCTTAACAAAATGGAGGCTGCATCCTTCACTGTGTGTACGCTGGTTACACTGCCCACCCACTATTAACTCGCAGGTACTTAGTGTGACGACATCACACAATGTTAGTGACACCTTTCCACTTCCAGCAATATAAGTGGCTAAAATTAATAGACTGAAATGCACATAGGGTTTGTTGGCTATGTCTGGCCCAGTTGTTTTCTGATGTGTCTGTTACTGTAAAACACAACATTCATATCAGTCATGGTTAGAGTCGTGATTCGTGACTTCACAGAGATCTGTATTAAGTGAAAAACCTGGGAAATGTATGGTGTCCATTGCTAACTTCTGTGACTGATCTAAAACAAGCATTCAGCAAGTGAAGTCTGATTTTCAAATCTGCATACCTGGTCAATAACTCGAAGTATTGAAACAAGAGAGTAACGGTGACAGCAGCTGATATTTTTGGAAGCAGGTCAGCAATGGAAGCTCATACATTTCTCTAATGAAAGCTTTTATCTAATTACAATCCTGTAAAATAATAATACTGGGATAGCAGCTGATTTAGTTACTATACACTTCGTGACTCCCTCATGTGTTGCTTTTGAAGATCTAACATTTGCCATGCATCCTGCCAGCATTAGTAATCCCATGCTTCTGGGTGCAGATTTACATATTTTCTACATCTATTTTAAAGTTCCATATATTGTCTTTTTATGCCTTCTATTTTGGCGTAAAAAAAATTTGTTTTAAAAAATTTGTTTTTGGTCAAATCAAATTTTGAACATATTAATTACTTGAGCAAAACCCACAATATTATATACTGTATACTAATGGTGCACGGAAATGAAAATTCTTGGACTGAAACCGAAAATGCAGGATTATTTGGCCGAAAATCAAAACTGAAATGCACAGTTGTTTTAAAAAATATTTAAATATATATATAAAAAAACTTTAAAAAAGCAAAACGCATAAAAAAAATAAGTCACAAATGTGCATTCAAAAAGGCACTGCAAAATGGACAAAACACAAACTGCATTGATGTGAACCAGGCCTGAACTGTATTGAAAGTGCAGCAAAAGCGCAGCAAAAACACATCAAAAACGCTTGTTACATTTTTGATGCATTCTACATTTTTAATCTGCCCAACAATAAGTTGGCAAAAAAAAAATTCAAAAAACGCAAATGCAAAAAACACAAAAGAATGTATCAAAAACGGTGTACAAAAACACCAAATGCACTGTAAAACAGAAAAAATGCAAACAGCATTGGTGTGAACCAGGCCTGGAATGCATTGAAAATGCAGCAAAAACGCATGTGTTGAATTTTTGATGCATTTTGCGGTTTTAATCTGCCCAGCAGCAAGTTGGCCAAAGAAACACTCAAAAAAATGCAAACCGTATAAAAAATGCATCAGAAACGCACATACAAAACCGCAAAAAGCACTGCAAAACGGACGAAACACAAACTGCATTGATGCGAACCAGGCCTGAAATGCATTGAAAACCCACAAAAAATGCATGTGTTGTGTCACATGACCTACGAAAAACACAACCCTAACCGTGGTAAAATCGTGGCAAAATTGCAGGTGAAATTGCACGTTTTTGACAGCCATTATCAGAACTTTTTTTCCTATTGGCAAAATGCCGAAAACACAATTTTTGGCTGATATTTCAGTGCATCCCTACTGTATACATTTATATTTTGTATCTTGGAGTATTAACAGAATACCATAAAAGCATTTCACTGCCAAAATAAATATTGGGATGCAAGTGTAATGGTTAAAACATTATTTCAGAGAAGAAGATAGCGAGGGAACTCTGAACACTAGTAAAAGCCATCTAGCTTAGACCTACAATGGCAGAAGACAGCAGACGAATGGAAGAAGAGGATCGTGGCCCAGGGGCTGCCTTCCAGGTTTTTGTTCTTATGGAAGACCTGCTGGAAAAATTGAGGCTACTTAACTATGAAGAAGAAGTTCTTAAAAAGCATAATATGAGGCCAATTTCCAGGTCAGTAAGTTACCGAACCTCATGTACTCATTATTCAACTAGAATATGTTAAGTCTATTTACATGCACCGATTCCCATACATGTTGATTGTAAGTTTCATATAAGGTCCCCACTGGGCACAAGTCACACTGCAAAGAATGGCATGCAATGTGAACAGGAATGTGGTGCAATTCCTGTCCGAATCACGTGCAGTTTCCCGCACTGCTCCTATGTGAACCCAGGCGCAAATCACTGTGACAAGCCATTCTTTGCAGTGCGATTTGTTCCCCTTCATTTCGTACAGACACAAATTGCACTGCAAAGTATCAGTACTTGGTATCGGCGAGTACTTGGCTGGAAGTATCAGTACTCATACTCGCTGATTAAAAAAAAAAAAAAAAAAGGCATCAGTGCATCCCTAGTGTTCAAGTTGCATGTCATTCTTTGCAGTGCGATTTGTTCCCCTTCATTTCGTACAGACACAAATTGCACTGCAAAGTTTCAGTACTTGGTATCGGCGAGTACTTGGCTGGAAGTATCAGTACTCATACTCGCTGATTAAAAAAAAAAAAAAAAAAAAAGGCATCAGTGCATCCCTAGTGTTCAAGTTGCATGTCATTCTTTGCAGTGCGACTTGTTTCCCTTCATTTCGTACAGACGCAAATCACACTGCAAAGTATCAGTACTTGGTATCGGCGAGTACTTGGCTAGAAGTATCAGTACTCATACTCGCTGATTAAAAAAAAAAAAAAAGGCATCAGTGCATCCCTAGTGTAAGCTCTAACTGAATGACAAAAACTCCAGGAATTATATTAAATTAATTAATTAATTAATTTGGGTCAGCATGGTGTAAACAAATTATCCTGATGCCACCTTCATGTGACTGATGGTGGGGCTGTAATTCACTGTTGTAACCTATGATACAATAAAGTGCATCCTCTTCTAGTAGGGTGCTCGAGCAACTTCCCCTCAATAAATATGCAATAAATATAGGGTTTGATTTACTAAAGGCAAATGGGCTGTTCACTTTGTATGGGAATTTACTCCAGGGCTTAGTGAATGAGGTGAAACTGGTGACTTCCATGATCCAGTCTTGTGCAAGCAAAAATTCTGTGCTAAGCTTTGGAACAAATTTCCTTTCAGAGCGAAACTAGCCTTGCAAAGTGAACAACATATTCACCTTTAGTAAATCAACCCCATAGAGTATTGCTAACTCTCATACATCTGCCACTCATAAACAGTTTTCAGTTAACACAAAGCTTTCTCTGATTGGCTGAGGTGGAGATCATTCTGTAATCTACCCTTTCCACCTCGACTAATTTGAAACCACCCTATATTCTCTGTATATGTGGTGCACAGAGGGGAATTCACTTGAGCACCTGCTGGAAGCAAATGCCGCTTACTATATGTAGCATAGGCTACACCAGTGAACTACAGCTTCATCATCAGCCACATGGAGGTGGTATCTGGATAATTTATTTGAGTTAAAAGTGATTCTAAAGGGTTATTTAAAAAAAAAAAAATAACAAACAGGTCTATACTTACCTGCTGTGCGTAGTGGTTTTGTGCAGAGCAGCCCAGATCCTCCTCTTCTCAGGTCTCTTGCAGGCTCTCCAGGCCCCTCCCTCCTTTCGGGTGCCCCCACAGCAAACAGCTTGCTATGGGGTACCTGCTGCTCGGTGGGTGTCCATTCACACACGGAACCGTGGCTTGGTCCCCCCCCCCCTTCTCATTGACTCACTAGCTGTGATTGACAGCAGTGAGAGTCAATGGCTTCCGCTTCTGTCTCAGCCAATGAAAAGAGGGGGTCCCAGGTGAGCTGAGACTCCAGTGCACACCGCTGGATGGAGAGGGGCTTAGGGGAGTATTAGGGGGGCTGGGGGGGGGGGGGGTGCTACATAGGGAAGGTTTTTTACCTTCATGCAAAGAATTCATGAAGGTAAAAAACCTTCAGCCTTTACAACCACTTTAAGCTGGCCCAAAGTAAGTGTTTAAATCAATTTAATTGCAGGAGTTCTTCAAGTTTGCTAAGGCCCTGTGTATAAAAACATTTACTATATATTTTAAAAAAATAGTTTTATCTTTTTCATGCTATGTTGCATCTCAGTTCTACTGATCTCTTTTAGCTTATCTGCAGCCACTTCCTGTGTTCATGCACCCTAGCTATGGTTGCATGGCATGTTTCATCAGACCTGCACACATCTCTAGAATCTGCATGGTGCATGGATCTTATAATCATCTGAATAATCAGCATGCAATAATAAACATCTGTAGGGTTTTTATTTCTGTCCGTGACCCAGTGGGAGTTTTGCTTCCTGTCCTAATGACACTCACAGTCAAAATGGGGGGAACAATTTTCATTAGGACAGGAGGACACAGACAGAAATAAAAACAGGTCTAACCCTTCCCAGCTATTTAAAAAAATAAAATGTTTTGGCTTGAGTTTGATTTTAAGAAATAAGTTTTGTAACCGTCTTCTGTAATGCATGTGTGTTTCCTTCAACAGATTGTATTTTGCCTTACCTACAAACCCCGGGGAACAGTTCTTCATGTTTTGCACACTTGCAGCTTGGCTGATAAACAAAGCTGGACACCGCTTTGAACAGCCACAAGAATATGATGATCCTAATGCTACCATCTCCAAAATCCTCACTGAGCTACGGTCATTTGTAAGTTGCATTTTATAGGATTCACTTCATGTGAATTGACTGGAGGGTTAGCCTGACCAAACGTAGAGCTTTAGTTATGGGTGATTCATCCAGTGGCTATTTTCATTATATCTCTCTGGCAGTCCTTCATTGACATCTGCATGCTGTTCCTCCCTGTTTCCCCGTTATTTTTTTTTTTACTGCTTTCAGGCAGCAGGATGCATTTCTGTAATGTAAAATATAAAATGCATTCAAATATCAAGACCCTACTGTAATGGACAGACCTGGAAGCTTAGATTCACAGATTTTGCTGCCAAGATGTATAAAAAGAAAGGAAGTGGTGGGCTATAATTTTTTTTCTTCTGGTCTCTCTCAGGGTGGCATAGCTGATTTCCCTCCTTCCAAACTAAAGGCAGGCTATGGAGAACAAGTGTGTTATGTGCTTGATTTTCTGTCAGAAGAAGTTTTAAAACATACAGGCTTTACCTGGAAAAGGTGAGAGATGTTTTGAAATACAATGCGCAAATAGCATTTCTTATTAACCAAACATTGATAGTTTCATTGCACTTTATGATATAACATGCAGCAAAGTGAGTGATATCTAGAAACTCACAGCAAACCAGAGCCAAATTAAAGAGAATCGTTAATGAGACTATTATATTATATATATATAAATATATATATTTATATATATAGTGGCTGCTACAGAGTATTGCACACTACTGTAATCAAATAAAGCGGTTATGTTAGGTAAAATAAAATTTTATAGGTGAAAATAACCCTTTAGTTGCATTCTTCATGTAGTTTTTGTGGCCTTTAAGCTGGCCATACATGGCTTGAATTTGCCTTTTGAATCAAATAAAATTCCACAAGTGGGTGCCTCTGTTTGCACTACCTTCTTCCATTAAAGTCAACCAAAAAAAATCAAAGGAGCCAGGTGGAAGGTTGTCAGCTCAACATTGACTTTCACTTGCAGTCACTGTTCAAGTATTCAGACAGCTGCAAGGAACAGCCAGCTGAAGAGATATCTCCATCCACACTGTTTGGGAATCTACTGTTTTCTTATCTGTACTTATACTATACTATAGGTAGCCTTATTCATGACAGCAATGGAATATACCCATGATTTGCTCTGAAATTAACTTGTTTACTTAAATGACAAAAAGGAAAAAGCAAAGCTAAGCCACAGTAACTTATCTGGGTGGAGACAAAATCCCCTTGTTAGGTCACAGTGTGCAGTGATATTTTGCTGTTAATTTTAATGCCTAAAAACCTGTAAAAGTACAATACTGTGTGTTCCATAATACTTAGACTGGGATTTTCATTACAAACATAATTAGGCATGATTTATTTATGTGGATTGGTGGCATCTTTTAAATAATTTGGTTTTCTTTATTAATTACACTGTGTGCACAATTATTAGGCAAGTGAGTATTTTTGACCAAATCATCATTTTTATGTACCCACAGCTTTTCCTCCCGTACCACTATCCTCTCCCTCCTAGATTGTAAGCTCCAAGGAGCAGGGCCCTCGAACCCCTCATGTATCACATTGTATTGTTATTCTACTGTCTCATGTATTGTCTCCCATTGTAATGTACAGCGCTGAGCAAACTGTTGGCGCTACATAAATACTGTATAATAATAATATGTATATTGTCCAACTCCAAGCTGTATAAGCATGAATGCTTATTGGATTTAAGCATATCAGGGGATGTGTATTTGTGTAATGAGGGAGGGTGTGGCCTAAGGAGATCAACACCCTATATCAAGGTGTGCATAATTATTAAGCAGCTTCTTTTCCTCTGGCAAAATGGACCAAAACTAGATTTAACTGACTCTGAAAAGTCAAAAATTGTAAACAGTCTTTCAGAGTGGTGCAGAACTCTTGAAATTCCTAATATATTGGGGCATGATCACAGAACCATCTGTTGCAAATAGTCAGCAGGGTTGCAAGAAACGTGTTAAAAAAAAAAAATGCCATTTAATTGCCAAAGATTTGAGAAGAATCAAACGTGAAGCTACCAGCAACCCATTATCCTCCAGTGCTGTCATATTCCAGAACTGCAACCTACCTGGAGTGCCCAGAAGTACAAGGTGTTCTGTGCTCACTGACATAGCCAAGGTAAGGGAGGCTGAAACCCGACCACAACTAAACAAGACACATAAGTTGAAATCTCAAGACCGGGCCAAGAAATTTATGGACTGATGAGATTAGACCAGATGGATGGGCCTGTGGCTGGATTAGTAATGGGCACAGGGCTCCACTTCAACTCAAATGCCAGCAAGGTGGAGGTGGGGTACTGGTATGGGCTGATATTAATAAAGATGAGCTAGTTGGACCTTTTTGGGTTCAAGATGGACTCAAAATCAACTCCCAAACCTACTGCCAGTTTTTAGAAGACACTTTCTTCAAGAAGTGGTACAGGAAAAAGTCTGTGTCTTTCAAGAAGACCATGATATTTATATGCAGGACAATGCTCCACTGCATGCATTGAGCTACTCCACTGTGTGGCAAGCCAGTAAAGGCCTTAAAGATGAGAGAATAATGACGTGGCCCCCTTCTTCCCCTGACCTAAACCCTATTGAGAACTTGTTGGCCCCTTTAAACCGGAGATTTACGGTGAAGGAAAAACAGTACACCTCTCTGAACAGTGTCTGGGAGACTGATTGCTGCTGGACAAATAGTTCATCATCCACAGATCAAGAAACTGGCAGACTCCATGAATGGAAGGCTTATGAGTTGTTTGTTTCATATTCTCACTTTAAGTCTAGGTTCACACCTAAGTGGTTTGCATTTTGCAGAAACGCAGTACAGTCCATTTAACATGATTTCCTATTGGATATGTTCACATCTCCGCATTTTCACCTGGTGCATTTTTTGGAAAGGGTTGGGGACTTTTTTTAAACTCAAAACGTTGCATTTTAGTTCTGTAGACTTCAATGGAGACGTTGCAGAAATGCATGTAGTGCGTTTTGCGTTTTAATTTGCCCAGCAACAAGTTGGAAAAACAAAAAAAATCAAAAATCGTCAAATACGTATGTACAAAAATGCACTGCAGAAACGGATCAAACGCAAACTGCATAGGTGTGAATCTTGCCTAACAGATGAAAATAAACAAGAAAGATGGGATTTGTGTTCATTTAGTTGCATAACAATTCTGCACACTAATAGGTGCCCAATAATTGTGCACACAGATATTCTCCTAAGAAAGCCACCTCACTTTTACGTTGTTAAATATTCAGGTTTGAGGTTCATTAACATTTTGGATTGACCGAGAGTACTGTAGCTGTTCAATAATGACATTAATCCTCAAAAATACAACATGCCTAGTAACTGTGCACACAGTGTATGCATGTAAATACCATAAATATCCATATTTAGGGCCTAAAAAGCAATTTGTTAATCAGAAATTAATTCCTTCTGCCATTTTTTTTTCTTTAAATGCTGTACTTTAAGTACTCAAGTTTAAGTACTTTTCCATTGTAAGTTTTTTTTTAGTTTTGTTTTTCCATTTCAGCCTGTATATCCTTCAGAGGAGTTAGATGAAGAAGTTATAGTGAGGATGATGCAGAGTTAACATTAAATAAATTTGAAGATGAAATTGTTGTGAGTATCGTGAGTTTAAGAAGTATCTACAGAGTAAGGGCTTCCCAGTAGGTGGCATAATTTAATTGTCATAATAACTTGTATGCCACTTGACTGTAGCCAATAAGCAAAACCCTTCTTAAAGATAAACTGTAATACGTTTGGGTCAATATTATTCTTTTTTCAATTTTTAAACCCATACCAATCCCCCCCCCCCCCCCCCCAATTCATGCTTTCCTTATCAGTTCCTAATTGGGGCGGAGAAAGATTGCTCATCTCCCTATAAATTTAGACAAGCTTATGGGGGCGGTCACAGATGGGTCATTGTCCTGCAAGAGTACATATTTCTGCTGGAGTGCAAAAACAGCAGTTGAACACAGCAGTTTAACTAAAGCAGGATAATTAAAGCAGCAAGAAGATACAGTTGTGTCCAAAATTATTCAACCCCCACTGAAATTGAGTGTTTTGGCCAGTTTGACATTGCTTTTGATCATTCAGTCATCTTGCTTACATTTACATTAAAGAGGCACTTGTAGGTCAGACAAATATAACATAACAGTTATAATGAAATAACCACAAATGTCTTTTCTGTGCTCACAGCATTATCAGTTTTATTCAACCCCCAAGTGACATTCAATCTTAGTACTTAGTACAGCATCCTTTTACAGTTATAACAGCTTTTAAACGTGAAGCATAGCTTGACACAAGTGTCTTGCAGCGATCTACGGGTATCTTCGCCCATTCTTCATGGGCAAAGGCCTCCAGTTCAGTCACATTCTTAGGCTTGCGCACTGCAACTGCTTTTCTTTAAGTCCCACCAGAGGTTCTCAATCGGATTTAAGTCTGGTGACTGCGATGGCCACTCCAAAATGTTCCAGCCTTTCCTCTGCAACCATGCTCTAGTGGACTTGGAGGTATGCTTGGGATCATTGTCCTGTTGAAAGGTCCAACGTCTCCCAAGCCTCAGGTGTGTGACGGACTGCATCACGTTTCCATCCAATATCTCCTGGTACTTGAAGAATTCATGGTACCTTGCACACGCTGAAGCTTCCCTGTACCTGCAGAAGCAAAACAGCCCCAAAGCATGATTGACCCTCCACCATGCTTCACAGTAGGCAAGGTGTTCTTTTCATCATAGCCTTGTTTCTTCCTCCTCCAAACATAGCGTTGATCCATGGGCCCAAACAGTTCTAATTTTGTTTCATCAGTCCACAGAACACTATCCCACAACTTTTGTGGTTTGTCCACATGGCTTTTGCATACTGCAGTCGACTCTTCTTATTCTTTGGAGACAGCAAGGGGGTACGCCTGGGAGTTCTGGCACGGAGGCCTTCATTACGCAGTGTGCGTCTTATTGTCTGGGCTGAAACTTCTGTACCCACATCTGACAAATCTTTTCTCAGTTCCTCACAGTCACACGGGGACTTCTCTCCACTCTAACGCTTCAGGTAGCGCACAGCAGTCGAAGTCAGCATCTTCTTTCTGCCACGACCAGGTAGCGTTTCAACAGTGCCCTTTGCCTTGAATTTGCGAATGATGCTTCCTAAGGTGTCTCTTGGTATGTTTAACATCTTTGCAATCTTCTTATAGCCATTGCCCTTCCTGTGAAGAGAAATCACCTCTTCTCTTGTCTTCCTGGACCATTCTCTTGCCTTCACCATGTTTGTAACCACACCAGTAAATGTCTAGAAGGAGCTGAGTATCACAGTCATTTTAAAGCTGCCTAATTGGTGCTTATTATGCTTGATTGCTGCTCGGTGACATCCACAGGTGTTTTCAATACCTGATGGAAAGCACCTGTATGAACCTCTGTTCTTCAGAGTGGTAGTCTTTAAGGGGTTGAATAATTGTGGCAATGAAGAAACCACATAAGAACCATTTACTACTGTATTACATAAACAATTGATGTCATTTTAGTTGCATTTGGGTAGTTACAACGTCCTTGTAGGATTTGATTCTGAATACAATTCCAAATGTACACTATAGTCCCTAAACCCCTTTACAGCATTGGGGGTTGAATAATTTTGGACACAACTGTACAACAAACATGTCTACTGCACTCTGGATGGACTGCAAGCAAAACACCCTGGGAAACATCTCCTACAAGTCTGATTCCCATTGCATCTACCTTTTTAATATGCCTGACCACTTCTGTCTACAACAGTTCACTTTCATCCAAACTAGACTCATTTGCTCCTCTAACTACATGAAGTATCAGGTCACAACAATTTACAACCGTGGCAGACTGACGACACCAGAAATCTTAAGAGACATAGTCGTGCACTGGAGGGACTGAGGCATAAAAACCAAATCCCAGCAAGCATTCACCGTATAGAAATCTGCTTTCTTAAAATACAATTCCTCCCTCCATGCTGCAAAACAAGCCTACTTTGTCTACCTTGTCATCCAGTCCTCGTCTCTTCTCTACTTTTAACTCTCTACTTTCTCCACCTTCACCCAGTAACTCAATAACTGCTCACAGGATTACCAATCATTTCAAAAACAAGATTGATGCAATTCGTAGGGGCATCTCCACTGCACAGACATCTATCCCACTTAGCATACCTTATGTTAAGCCAACCTCAACACTTTCCTCTTTTGACCTTGCAATTAATGAAGAGGTCATTCAAGTTTTCTCAGAAGCCCATCTCACCACCTGCCCTGAATCCCGTCCCCTCACAACTACTATGGTCACCCCCTCTTCTTCTGTCCTATGCTCCCTCACTCACATCTTCAATCTCACTCTCTCTAACGGTGCCTTCCCCTCCCTCTAAAGCATGCACAGATCACTCCCATACTTAAAAAGCCTCACTGGACCCCACCAATCTGAACAACTTAAGACCCATCTCACTACTCCGGTTTGCCTCTAAACTCTTAGAACGCTTAGTCTACAATTGCCTGAGCTCCTACCTCACTGACAACAACCTTTTTGACCCTTTACAGTCTGGCTTTCCCTCACTATACTCCACTGAAACTGACCTACTAAATCCCACTAATGATTTACTAACTGCTAAAAACCAATGGCCACTACTCCGTACTCTTACTACTTGACCTCTCTGCGGCTTTTTGATACTGTTGACCGTTCCAGTCCTCCTAAAAAAATCCACTCTCTTGTCCTCCAAGACTCTGCTCTTTCCTGGTTCTCCTCCTGCCTATCACAGCGCTCCTTCAGCGTTACCTATAACTCTGTCTCCTCCTCTCCACTTCCTCTTTCTGTAGGGGTCCCTCAAGGTTCTGTCCTTAAACCCCTTCTCTTCTCCATCTACACCTCCTCCCTTGGTCACTTGATAAACTCCCATGGCGTTAAGTACCATCTCTATGCTGATGACACAAATCTATCTTTCTACTCCTCAACTCACCCCTTCAGTCTACTCTTGCATTACTAACATACTAAGTGACATATCAGTCACTCCACTTCCTCAAATTAAATCTTTCTAAAACCGAGCTCATACTATTCCCTCCAGCCCGTGCCCCCTCCCCTGACTTCTCCATCAAGATCAATAATACAACCATCAGTCCCTTCCCTCATGCCAGGGTACTAGGTGTAATCCTGGACTCCCATCTGTCCTTTCAGCTCCAAATCCAATCACTGTCCCAAATCTTGTATACTTCATCTCCGCAACATCTGCAAGATACGCCCGTTCTTAACCTCTGAAACCACTAAGCAAGTTATTCACTCCTTTGTTATCTCTCGCCTTGACTATTGTAACTCCCTCCTCATTGGCCTACCTCATCGCAGGTTATCCCCTCTTTAGTCTAACATGAATGCTGCTGCTAGACTCATCCGCCTTACCAACCATTCCAGATCTGCCATCTCTTTCTGCCCATACCTCCACTGGCTTTCCATTGCCCAACAAATAAAATTCAAAACACTAACCAAACATATAAGCTATTTTTGGCGCCGAAATTTTGGTGCATCTCTAATATATATCTATATATATATATATATATATATATATATATATTTATTAGAGATGCACCAAAATTTCGGCGCCAAAAAAAAAAATATATAATATATATATTTCATAAATATATATATTTGCACATATTGCATAATCCTTAGTATGGAAGTCTAAAGCTTGTTTGGCCTTACTTCTCTTCTGGGTCACAGGGGAACACTTATTTTTTCACTTCTATGACCCAGATTCAGCCGACAGCATGCCGATACAGGCTCTGCAAGGATCCCGACTGTAATGTCAGAATCCACCCAGATGCCTGACAGGCAGCTGGCTCAGCCTCTCAACGCACCACTAAGAGCTTGAGCCAGCTGCTTCCACTTCCTTCACAGCCTAGCACTCCAGTGAGTGCTGGAAGGGGAGAGCAGAAAGCCAGTAACTGACAGTCACCACTCTCTGCTCAGTGAAGACCCAGAACTGAGAGAACAGCTGTCACGTGATCGATCAGTTCCTTTGTCTTAGAGCCGGTGGGGGACCAGTCGATCCGATGCTGCAGCCACATAGTTGAGCATGTATTTGTGTTTATTTATTTTTTAATCTCTCTATTTTCTGAATCAAAGTATGTTATCTGTTATTTTGTTTTCTTCCAGGAAGAAGAATCTGACAATGATGAAGAGCACTTAGTAGATTTAAACATTCTGAAATCACAAAGTAATAAAATGGCAAGTAAACAAGTACTTTGTTGTTTGCAACTGACCACATAAAATAAGCTCAGTGCAAATTGAGGAAAAAATACAAGTTTTTCTGGAAAAAAAAAGGAAAAAAAATGTTGCAGTATGAGTTTTGGTCATGATGGTTCAGTGGTGTGGGTAAACCAATTCACCCTGATTATAAAGGACAACAAATTATTTGTCTGGTAAATAGCAAATAGATCTAGCGACACACTCCCACGTTTAGAAATTGAGATAAAATAATTTATGGGTTTAAATTGGTGATCTTATTTACTTTATATTAGAAACTATTAACAAGATGTTGTTTTTTTTCAGCTATAAAAAATAAAAGTGAAACTAGAAGAAAGGAGTGCTTTAGATTTTATTCCACCACCACCACCACCACTCTATTCAAAATGAAGAAAAAATATTTAGGCTTTACATAGACTTTAAAGGAAACCTATGTTGAATAAAATGTATAGGTTCTTGTTTCTAATATCCTTCTGAAAAAGCTGGTTGTATCATTTTCAGAAGGAGGCCATCAATGGCATCCTCCAAATTTCACTCGGCATATGTTCCTTATTTTGAGCAACATTGCTAAACAAATATGTTTTGCAACTAAGAAGTGAGAGCTGGATGAAAAGATTACACATTTAGTCATATATTTTATCATTTGTTTCCTTTTAATTGCTGAAATTATTACAGAGAGTGTCTACCTGTTGTAAATAAATCAATAGAAAATAAAATCATTTATTTTCTTTAGAATGTTGGAGAAACATCTAAACCAGAGGAGATTTTGGAATCTAAAACGGATGCAGCAGAGTGGTACCTGGAGGTGGAACGAGTACTTCCACAGCTGAAGGTCACAGTGAGAACTGATAATAAGGTGAGCTATTACTCTTGTCACTTGTGCTCAACAACAATACAGAGAGTGATGGTGTGTTGTAGAATTTAATATACGTATCAACTAAAGCTGCCATAGATAGATCAAAATTCATCTGGTTCAGCAGGGACCAGTCGGATTTCGACCCATCTTTGGCTGTTCCTGTTTGTAAGAAGTCGATCTAATGATCGACTACTCATGAATGAGTTTATTGGAAAATTTTTGTTTGATCAATGCTGCAGTGCTGATCAGTGTATTCTGACAGTCGAGGACTCCCCACTGTCAAAATACTATAGCACAGTGGGGGGGAGGATTCCTCCAACTACTTTGCTTGTGTAGATGGGGGAATGCATTCATTTTTTTTCGAACAGCTGATCAAAAAATTGATCTATGAATGTATGGACAGCCTAACTGTAAGAATTAGTCTGAAAATGGAAGGTGATTTCTGACTGCTGATGGCTAATGCATTTTATTGCACTTTTTACTTTGTTTATGTTGGATGGTCTACTGTACAATGTTTTGGGTCTTCTTTATAACATTTTCAGTTTGTTTTGGTTTATATTCAGATGGTGGCTATGACAGCACAGGTTTTAGCAGAAAGAACAGTCATACATATAATGTATTCCACCTTGTAACAAGAAAGAGATTTTGTCTTATTTTTTAGGATTGGAGGAATTCATGTTGATCAAATGCACCAACACAAAGGTGGAATTGAATCATCCTTAAAGGAAACAAAGGTATGCCAAGCTGAATACTAAAAGTGCTGCTGTGCAGGGGCAACTGACAGTAGACTCCTGTTTTCTGTATCTGCGCTTTTGGTTTCAAAGTCTTCATTTATCCTCACAGTGATCATAGTCAGGCTTTCTATGATGAGATTCTGGGACAGCCCATTAGATGTGTTACCTCCCACCGCACAGGAAGTTTGGGGGGGGGGGGGAGGGGGGCAAGCAGAACGGAGGAGGATTACTGTAGTAAAAGAAGAGAAATCGGCACAAGGGACGCATCCTACTGATGGTGAGTTTTGTCCCTTGTGCTGATTTTTCTGTTTTTTTTTGGCTGCACTTAGTCTTTTTAATTTTTATTATGAGGCAGCTCATCAAATTATGTTCCGTCAAGCAGTAAGTAAAGTAAACTGCATTGATCATGACTTGATTTTATGGTCCTCTGCAGCAGAGTTATAAAAAGGGTTAGTAAAAAACTGTATGATCTAACATTTTAGAAAAAAAAAAACTACAATAAACGTAAAAGCCAACTAATAAAGCCTTCTGCCATATATCTCTGTCCTGTGTTTAAGAAGGGCGTTTACATAACATATACATATATCTAAGGAAAGCTAGCAGGTGAATTTACTACCTTGTGGCCCTCACCACTAATGGATAAATCATTTTTAAATAAATACACATTACACTTTGCACATCACTTTTCACTTGCTTTGCTATCCGTGTTTTACTGTCCTCATATCTATAACCTTCTGGTCTGTCTAACAAACTATAGTTGTATTAGTGGAGTATAAATAAAAATAACAATTTAATACCAACCCAGGGTTCCTATGTTGTTTCTATTTTTTCTCCTGCTGCTCATTATAACTGCTGGTAACCAAACATATTTTAGAGAAGTGCATTTTCTTCATTATTTAGATGTCCATAACTTGTATGTAATACATGAAATAGAAAAGCTTTCTTAGACTTCCCCCTTTACTTTTCTCATGCATGGCAAAATAATAAGGTTATATAACTTCTCCTCCCCAGCAGCACGCACTCGCCTTTCCTCACGTTCCTGCTGCTCAGTTCAGCTTCTAGGAGTTAAGGTAAAGCTCTGTGTATTCTCCAGGCTTCTTAGCACTTAAACAGGGCTGATGAGGGCTATTTCTCTGCCCCCATGTGGGAGGAAGGAAGTTTTAGTGACCCTGTTTCCCACTGCATGCACAAGGTAAAGGATCACATTAACATTCCATCCAAGATGAGCAGTTTTTGATTATGTTGACTGATACTGTTGTGTACACTTTTGTGTGTGTCATTTTTGCTGTCAAGATCTACTTTCTGAGTAATTAGTTATCAGGTAAAAGATCTTTTAGCGGTTTCCTTGTGCTCAGAGGTTGACACATCATCTTAGTTTAGCAGAGCCTAGACATACCTTCCAGTCAAAGTATTTTTACTTTTTCCCTAACCTGTAAAATGCCTCAAAAAGTCAAAGTATATCTAGATTCTGTATGCGTATATTTTGAGTTACTACACTGTTTACCTTAATGTAATTTTAGTGTGACTTTCACATATTTACATGCTTGCATGTGTTTGGTATTACGTTACATCTAGAACTGGTAAATTCACCTTTAGAAGCAAGGTAGATTAGCTGCTACAATGAATCTGCCACTTGGGGAGTGCACTGTTTTCAGGGAGTCATAGACTTCCATTCCACTTTGTGGCACTGCAGAGCAGGAAACAGAGCTTGCATAAGTAACAGTATTAGATATTGATAAGAATCTCCACTAGGATAACCTTTTTTGCATAATTGTTTATAAAACTGTAACATAATCTTATGCTTTTCAATAAATGACATCTATTTTTTTGGTATTAGGGTTATCTGGACAAGCTTCAAAATGAGGTCAGCAAGACCTTGGAGAAAGTGGCTAGTCGTGAGAAATATATCAACAGCCAGTTGGATCCCCTGGTTCAGGAGTATCGAACAGCACAAGCCCAGCTGAGTGAGGTGATCTTCTGAGTTTATTATGTTTATCTTAAAGGATAAGTCCACCTTTGGAACGTGTTACAGCTGGCATCCCACACCCACTGTGACTTTTTAAAAATAGCATGACTGTCGAGGCTTCACCTGCACCCCTGCGTCACTTATTCACAGATTCTTGAGAATGAATAAACTACAAGTTCCGTCTTCCACTGGGGCTGATAAGTGCTCTCACGGTCCACTGACATGTCCTCTGGCTGTCAAACAGAAAGCCCTCAGAGAGGTACAAGCTGAAAGCCAGAGGATATGTCTTTAAGAGCCCACATTGCAACCATGATCTACTAATCAGAGGTGCTATGCTTTCCAGGCTGCATGAAAGAATAATAAATGCACATTCTCTTCTGCATTATTTTTTCTGTAAAAGTGAACTTAGCCTTTAGGACCAATTCACACCATAGAAACGCAGTCCAGATGTGTTCCGGATGAGTTTCCACATGCGCATATTTGGTGCATTTTTTATGCTTTTTTTGTGCATTCCAGTGCGTTTTTGATGCTTTATTCAATGTAAATAGGGACATGTGCGTTTCAGTGCAAAAACATGCACACTCACCTATGTGGCTGCAGTATCTATCCAATGCTTCAGCTGTCCCCAACCGCCTCTAAGACTGAGAATCAAGTCATTACATTACTGCTTTAGCCCTGTGGCAGCTGAATCTGGATCACAGGAGAGAACAAGTGCACTCCTGTAAACTACAAGAAAAGTAAAAAAAAGTTGGGACGCTGTGCAAAATCTACAGAAAACAGAATGCAATGATTTTCAAGTCTTGTAAACTTATATTTTATTCACGATATAAAATAGTAAACATATCAAATGTTTAAACTTAGAAAATGTACCATTTTAAGAAAAAAGGTAACACATCTCAAAATAGTTAGCGTAGCATCCCCTCTTCTTTTAACAACTCTCTGTAAATGTCTGGGAACCAGACTGGGAGGAGACCAGTTGCTGGAGTTTTAGGAGTGAAATGTTGTCCCATTTTTGTATAATATAGGATTCTAACTGCTCAACAGTCCTGGGTCTTCTTTGCCATATTTTTCTTTTTGAGATGCACCCATTATTTTCAATTGCAGGCAGGTCAGTTAGGCACCTGGACTCTTCTACTATGAAGTCATGCTGTTGTCATAGATGCAGTATGCAGTTTAGCATTGTCCTTCTGAAATATGCAAGGCCTCCCCTGAAAATGACATCTTGATGGGAACATATGCTGCTCAAAAACGTAATATATTTTTTGGGACTGATGGTGCTCTAATGCACCTACATATGATCAGAGATGCAGGCTTTTGAACTTACTGCTGATAACAAGCCGGAGGGTCCCTCTCCTCTTAATTCTGGAGGACACGGTGCCCATGGTTACCAAAAAGAATATCAGATTTAGATTTGTTTAACCACAGAACAGTTTTCCACTTTGCAACAGACCATTTTAAATAAGCTTTGGCTGGTGGTGTTCAGGTATGGCCTCTTCTTTGCATGATAGAGCTTTACCTTGCATTTTTGAATGGCACAGCAAACTGTTTACACAGTGATTTTTGGAAGTATTCCTGATCACAGAATCATGCCTGTTAGTAATGCAGTGCTGTCTGAGGGCCAGAAGATCATGGGCACCCAATATTTACCTTTTCCGTTACACACAGATATTTCTTCAGATTCTCTGAATCTTTTGATATTATGAACTGTAGATGATGATTTTATGTTAAGGGACATTATTCTGAAATTGTTTGACAATTTTTAATCACAGCTTTTCACAGATTGGTGAACCTCTGCCCATCTTTATTTCTGAGACAATCTGACTCTCTAAGATGCTCTTTTTATACCCAGTCATGTTACTGACCTGTTGCCAATTAACCTAATTAATTGCAAAATGTTCTTCCAGCTCTTCCTTCTTTTGTACCACTCTCACAGTACTTTGCCAGCTTTTTCTTGCCCTGTACGAAGATATTTGAGATGTGTTGCTGCCATCAATTTCAAAATTACCTTAGTTTGTTCCTAAAATGGTATATCTTCTCAGTTTAAACATTTAATATGCTTTTTATTTTCTATTGTGAATAAACTATGGGTTTATGATATATGTCTAATTAGGGTTGTATGACCAAAAGAGCTTTGGCAATACTTATCCTTTAATTGTAACAAAATCTGGTTTTACTGTTTGGGTAAACTTGGGAATATCATTAGCCATTCAGGACAACCACTTCTTTTTCACTGCAGTTAACTTGCTCCAGTTTTTGAAAATGAATCCATGGACTGGTATGCTTTTCCTGAAATGTTCACCTTCTGGGCACAGTCCCAAATGTTTTTCTATGTACTTTGTTTCCTTTCAGATAGTGGTCTGTAAAATGCTGGAGTATGCGGATAAAGCATATTTTTACACCAAGTAATAATTTTTCTTCTGCTGCATAGCCAATTATTATATTAGTTAACGCGCATTTCATCAGGAAATAGTGCAGTTCACCAGGTCTATTTCATTCCTATAAAATAATTATTTTTTTTAGGGTAGACCCTAAATGTTTTTTGCTTTTGATATTATTCTTCTTCTCTTCTTAGCTAAAGGAACAATATCAGCAATTAACCACAAAAGTAACAGAGAAGACACGAATCCTGTCTGAGGTAAAGCACTGGAATATTATTTTTACACCTTAATATAATTTACAGCCATTCATAAACTCCTATACGTTTTCATAATTGAATTTATATGTTAGTCTATTTGTCTCTTGAAGAAGAATTCCAAGTGTTATAATGGCAAGCGAGTAAAACACATGCTTTGCCAGTATTTGCAATTTGTGGGATTAAAAACGTATTCTTAGAAAATGTGCAGTCAGGACCATGGAAAATGTAGGCAGCTACACCTTTTTTTCAAATAACACTCTGTCATACACAGTGGCCACTGTAGTCTTCCACTACACAAAGCAACGTGCTTTGTGCAACACGTTAGATCTAAGGTTGATAGTTGGTTCGAATCTCTGCCAGTTCAGGCAGGAATCGGGCAAGATTATGGGTAGGCTGATCGTACCCAGGTTGATCCATCGATTAACTTGGGTAGAACCAGCATATGGATTTTTAGCATTATTGCCTGTTCTCCTAGCAGGGGCGGCTGAGGTCAATCACAGCCAGTGAGTCAATAACACAGACAGAGGGGACAGGGCCGAGTTGCGGCTCCATGTGTGAATGGACACACAGAACAGCGGCTCGGGAACACGCTTGCTCAGGTGCCCCTGGAGCAAGCCAGGAGCGCCGGTGGGGAATCCGAGTTGGAAGGGATGCAGGTTGCTCTGTGCAAAACCACTGCAGAGTGCAGGTAAGTATAACATGCTTGGTATTATTTTTTTTTCTACACTGAACCTTTAGTATCGCTTCAGGAGACATTTTATGCAGCTTTTGCACCTAGAAAAATACACCTCCTTGCCTCCAAGCCCTGCACCACATCCTTATAGGTGTTATGGTGTGGAAAGCTATTCTGTTCTAGTATATACAGGGCAAAAGAACAAGGTAATAAGGATTCTTCTTTCGTGTGCTTCTTTGTGTACAAGACTAACAACAAACACTGCAGGCTGGTGCTTCAGCTACAGGCCCATATTTGTTGAGCATTACTTTTGTAAACAGTGTAATCAAAAACAGATACAAATCAGCCTCTTCAAAGCACACAGGTCTGTATTAGGCTTCATATACACAAGCATCGTAAAATGATGCTATTCCCTAATGCTTTCTAAGTGTACCCTGATACTTTAGACTAAAATTTGTATTGAACTGAATGACTGGTAAAATAGAAGGGATGTAACAGAATTTTAGTACCCGAAATATAATATGAGGGATATTGGCTGAATTTTCTACCATCCTCATGTACTTGTCACACTACTAAAAGTAAGTTTACAGAATGTTTTATTTTAGTATCCTCAGAAATCTCTGCATACTATACGATCATACTATATAATGTAAGCAATATAGGACAAATCTGAGATCAGGTTGAGAGAAGTCCAAAACCAGCAGCCTACACTATATCCTGATACAAGATATATAGATATTAGAACTGCAGAGTATGATGCTCTAATCTCATGTAAAATTCAGAAAATGTCACCTAGTGTGATCTAAATCAGTCAATAAAAATAACAATATTACATTAGGAAAATACATAAGGGTGAAAACAAATAATAAAAATGTATGTGCAGTGATCACATACAGATAAAGTGCAAATATAGTGCAAACAAGAGTCCAGACATAGTCTTTCTAATAAATGTCCATACACAAATCAATATAGAGTGATAAAATCTCATGATCAATCCCCTTGCTTACGCTGGTGAAAGTAATATCTTGTTCACAGACTAAGAGTGGTCATAAAAGTTTACCTGTTAAGCTGTTAGCTTACTTATTAAGATACTTCTATGACTACTCTTAGGTTGAAGGTCATAACTATCTGGTATGCCTCTTTGAACACAGTACGGGGTGTGCAACACACTGTCTGTGAACAAGATATTCTTTTCACAGCACTAGCAAGGGTATTACGCTATTGCTTTGTGTATGGACATGAGGATCTTCAGAATGTATGAAAAAAAAAAATAAAATCAGCAGCTACAAATACTGTAGTTGCTCACTTTTAATAAAAGGACACTTACCTGTCCAAGAATCCAGCTCCATCCTTTCCTCGGCTGGTTCTTCATTGCCCTTTGAGTTCCCAGCGCCAGCATGTTTACTAAGGGAAGGCAGCTGTGACTCTTTGTAGCTTCACCTTTGGCATCCTCCTGCAGATGCTTGAGCTGTGCTTTGTGAATGGTTCCTGCAGCATTCTGGGACCTATCATGTGTTCCAGAAGGCTGTGGCCATGCAGGGGGCGCAAATTTCTGCTCAGTTCGCCTAGGTCAGCCTTTCTCAACCTTTTCAACACAGAGGAACCCTTGAAATAACTTTCCGTTATTTCAACCTCCAAAAATGTTATATTTCCACAACTCATGATGCATTAGTGTAATGTCAGTAGGAAAAATGCTCCTTACACTTGTGGTCACTGGCAAGAATTACCCTCTGATAGATAGTTAAAAAGATCAATGGCATCAGTGGGAACTTATCTGACAGGCAGAAATTTCTCATTGCTCAAGGAACACCCAGCAATCTCTGGAGGAACCCTAGAATTCCATAGAAACCTAGTTGATAAACCCTGGCCCAGGTGATTCAAGCAGAAGTTTGAGAGGGTACCTGTCATCTCTGTGTATCACCTGAGGCCAGTCACTTCACTGGGTATATGTAAGGGTTTACAGCCATGTTAAGGCAAAATGCTCATCCAAAAAATGTGTTTCTTTTTAGGTTACTGAAGAGTTAGAAAAAGTTAAGCAGGAAATTGAAGAAAAAGGAAGTAGTATCACTGATGGTGGTAGGTACCAAAACTTGTTAATGATCTACACAGAACCAAACAATTGATCATAGATTTGTCTGTGTCAAATAATCTTTTGCTTGAAAATGATAATTCATGAAAATAACCCATGAAAAAGGTGAATTTGGTCATATTTAATTGGTGTTTCCACTATGATCTTTTCAGTGAATATGATCATTTATTGATCAAGCTATTAAACATTTAGTACTATTTTTATTTTATTAATGCATTTTTGTTAAAGCTGAATTCCAGACATACCTTTAGTCTTTCATGGTTGTATAGATTCATAAATCCTGTACTGAAATTGCGTATTGTGATTAGAAATTGCAGCAAGACATATAAATCCCACGATATTTCTTAGCTGGAGGACATCCAATATCATCTAACTTTCTGCCCCAGTCTTACTGTCCCTGGCAACCCCTTGCATTTATCTGGTTTCAATTATTTCAAATATAGAGGCTCCACATCACATATGGGCATTACCCATGGTAGCATGCATGCAAATGCAGTTTTCCTAGGAATGCCCACTCATGACCTCCACCCATTAAATAATTTTTAGATTTGCTTAACTATTCTCAAGAGCTATTCTACTGCTTGCTTCAAGGCAGAGGGCTCTTGAGAGGAGTATTGAGATAGGAAGATGCTTTTATGAAGCTATGTTCAGGCCCCTGCTGGCTCTTTCCACCAGTCATGATATGCTTGCATTGCATATCATGAGAAGCATAAAGACCCAGTGTTGACACCACTGGGTCTGAAATTAGTTATGCAATGAAAATGCATGTTTTATTTAAAAAGCTCAGTATATTGATGAGGGGTGGAGGGAGGAATTGGAGAAAACAGCATAAATGCAGAGAAAAAAGACTTTAAAACGATGATTATATGATTGGATATATGGCCAGTTACCACAATAGCACCAGGCAGCCATTCAGGTGCACCATTTTCCCATCCTAAGCACAAATACAGCAATTGCTATTACACTGAAGTTGTGGAAATCAGATTTGCGCATTATTATGCAGAATGGCAACTTTGCTTTGTCAGTGCATCTTTTGGAAATTCATAGCACTTTTGTCTGCATGTATATAGTGCCCTGAAAAAGTATTAATACCCCTTGAAATGTTCCACATTTTGTCATGTTACAACCAAAAACGTAAATGTATTTTATTGGGATTTTATGTGATAGACCAACACAAAGTGGCACCTAACTGTGAAGTGGAAGGAAAATGATAAATGGTTTCAAAATTTATTTACAAATAAATATCTGAAAACTGTGGTGTGCATTTATATTCAGCCCCCCTGAGTCAATACTTTGTAGAACCACCTTTCGCTGCAATTACAGCTGCAAGTCTTTTTTGCTATGTTCTACCAGCTTTGCACATCTAGAGAGTGACATTTTTGCCCATTCTTCCTTGCCATATAGCTCAAGCTTCATCAGATTGGATGGAGAGCGTCTGTGAACAGCAATTTTAAGTCTTGCCACAGATTCTCAATTGGATTTCGGTCTGGACTTTAACTGGGCCATTCTAACACATGAAGATGCTTTGATCTAAACCATACATCTTCCAATCAACACTGACCAGCTTCCCTGACCCTGCTAAAGAAAAGCATCCCCACAACATGATGCTGCCACCGCGTTTCATGGTGGGGATGGTGTGTTCAGGATGATCTGCAGCGTTAATTTAACGCCACACGTGGCATTTTGCTTAGGCAAAAAAGTTCAATTTAGGTCTCATCTGACCAGAGCACCTTCTTCCACATGTTTACTGTGTCCCCCACATGGCTTCTCGCAAACTGCAGTTGGGACATATGGCTTTCTTTCAACAATGGCTTTCTTCTTGCCACTCTTCCAAAAAAGCCAAATTTGTGGAGTGCATGACTAATAGTTCCCATCTGAGCTGTGGACCTCTGCAGTTCCTCCAGAGTTACCATGGGCCTCTTGGCTGCTTCTCTGAATAATACTCTGCTTGCCCAGCCTGTAAGTTTAGGTGGGCGGCCATTTGTTGGTAGGTTTGCAGTTGTGCCATACTCTTTCCATTTCGGATGATGGATGAACAGTGTTCCATGAGATGTTCAAAGCTTGGGATATTTTTTTTAGAACCTAACTGTGCTTTTAACTAATACACAACTTTATCCCTGACCTGTCTGCTGTGTTCCTTGGCCTTCATTATGCTGTTTGTTCACTAATGTTCTCTAACAAATTTCTGAGGGCTTTACAGAACAGCTGTATTTATACTGAGATTAAATTACACACAGGTGGACTCTGTTTACTAATTAGTTGACTTCTGAAGACAATTGGTTCCACTAGATTTTAGTTAGGGGTATCAGAGTAAAGGGGGCTGAATACAAATGCACGCTACACTTTTCAAATATTTATTTGTAAAAAACCATTTATCATTTTCCTTCTACAATTATGTGCCACTTTGTGTTGGTCTATCACATAAAATCCCAATAAAATACATTTACGTTTTTTGGTTGTAACATGACAAAATTTGGAAAAGTTCAAGGGTTATGAATACTTTTTCAAGGCACTGTATGTTGACTTTTTTTTTAAATTAAGGCTGGTTCTTTACTTACTATCAATGCATGTTATGATTATTTGTATTTCAGCTCCACTGGTGAAGATGAAGCAAGGCTTAAACAAGCTAAAGCAAGAGATTGTACAGATGGATATCAGAATTGGTGTAGTAGAACATACTTTGCTTCAGTCCAAACTGAAAGAAAAATCAAACATGACCAGAGATATGCATGCCACAATCATTCCAGACTCATCCATAGGACACTATTAGACTACAGCACACTTGTGCCTGATGTCTTTTTATTTTTAACAGGTTTGAATTTTGTATGATTTGGCATATATTTATTTACATTTTGTAAACTTTTTTGTTTTGACTGTATGTTAATATCTTTGATATGTTTAATAAATTAATATTCGCTATATACAGACATACATGAATGAATATAAGCACAACTGATTGTTGGTTTGAAAGAGTGAGTCTAACTAAAATGACTACATCAGACATTGTGTTAGTTGGCCCAGTTAGACTATCAATCCCCTAACCGTATCATAATGATCCAGTCTCCTCTTTTTTTGTAATTAACTTTTTATTAATTTTCAAACATTTACAACAAACAAGTTGCATAGGTAAACATAAAGCAATAGAAGAGAAAAAGAGAAAACCGAAAAAAAAAACAGCCTCATCGGTGAGAGGTTCATATGTCAAACAATGTCAATACAGAACAGTGAAATGGCAATCCATTTCAAACAATTTGATCAGACAAGTCAAAGGTATAAGTATCCCATGGGTCCCAAAGTGCCTCAAATGCAGGAACAGAATTAGCATTTAAAGCAGTTAGGTACTCCATTTTTCTAATCTCCGCTATACCTTCATCAATTCCAGTAACGGGGGGGGGGGTATGGAAGAAAGCCAATGCATGGGAATGGTTCTCCTGGATGCCATTAAAACGTGAGGGGAAAGTTTCCATGCAAATTTGGAAAAAAGGTAGGCCCAGCAAAAAGTAAATGAGCTCAAATGGGATAGGAGCCTGCAAAAGTAACCGTAGTAGGGCAAGGACCTCTCTCCAAAAGGGTGCAATAAACTGGCAAGCTCAGTAAATGTGGAAAAGAGTGCCAGTTTCCTTGCCACAACGCCAACAGACAAGAAACATTCGGGTTACGAGCATGGAGAACCTCAGGAGTCCTATACCAAAACATCAGGATTTTATAAGTGTTTTCTTTATATACTACACATATAGAAGATTTAGAGGCACCTCCCAAATCCTGTGCCACTGATCTAAGCCAATATCGCATTGTAGGAATCGGGGCCATTTACGCATATAAAAGGAGGTATCAATAGAAAGGGGGCAGGCATCTAAAAGCATCTTATACGTAGAGGAAATTATGCCCCGTTGGTATGGGCCTTGAATACAGATACGCTCAAAGGGGGTAGGCTTCTCAATCATAGATGAGGCTTTGGAGGGAAAAAAAATTACGTATCTATAGATAAACATAGATTGGTGGGGTGGCATACGATTGGCTTTTTGAATGTCAGGGAAAGATTTAAGCTTTCGAGTTGCTGGATTGACCAAGTGTCACAACTGGACTAGTTTGGCCTCGGCCCAGGGACGCACATGAGCCATAGCCAGGCTATCTGGGAGGCATGAATTGAATATGACATTAGTCAAGGGGGAACACATGGAGGCTAGGACGAATCTAACCCTACACCGCCTCCATATAGATAACATGAATTGCATGGGTCCAAGCAGGAAATGTTTGTAAGAGGAGATATCAGCATTGGTCATAGACCAGAGGAGAGAACAAGGGTGCGTCGGACTGAGCTGTAGTGATTCAATCTCGCTCCCTTTATTAGGGGGGCGTTGGGAGGACCATGAGACAAGAGCCCGGAGGTGGGTGGCTAAATAGTATATCACAATGTCTGGGGCCCCCAGACCCCCCCCTAGACGAGGAGAGAGGAGGACAGTACGGGCGATCCGGTGCGATTTATTATGCCAGATGAAATGGAGAACAGACAGACTTCTTAAGAGAGCGCAATTTGGGCATGGGGATAGGGACAGGAAGTGTCTCAAACAGATACAAAAGCTTGGGCAATATAGTTATTTTTAATACATTGATCCATCCAAGGAAAGAAATGGGAAGGTTGTCCCAGGATTTTAAGGACTGGGAAATTGCATGAGGAAGTAAGGTTCGTACCCAGGGAATGAGGGCACCACCTGTAAGGATAATTTAACTGAAGGGAGGATAGGACTGTAGGTGAGATATGGAATGGTAGTGCTTCAGTTTTAGACACATTAACTTTATATCCTGACAAGGCATGAAAAAGCTATAAAGTACGATGCCAAACAGGTAAGGAAGTATGAGGCTCTGTCAGTGTCAGCAAGATATCATCAGCGAACAGGGACAATTTAAAATGACAGTCATGTGTGCGTATCCCCTGTATATCTGGGTAGGATCTAATGGCTATGGCCAGGGGTTCCAGACAGAGGATAAACAGCAGAGGGGAAAGCGGGCATTCTTGACGCGTACCGTATGACATCTGGAAGGAGGGGAACAGGAATGATGCTAATTTGACCTGGGAGGTGGGGGGCGAGTATAGAGCTTTCAGGGCTGCCATAAATGGGCTGCTAAACCCAAATCTCTCCAGGGCCAGAAAGATATAAGGCCAGCTAAGTAGGTCAAATGCTTTTTGGGCATCCAAGCTCAACAAGAGAGCAGGAGTCGAGGACTTTTTAACAAGACTGATCAAATTGATAGTCCTCCTAGTGTTATCCGCGGCATGTCTAGCCGGTACAAAACCCACCTGGTCTCTGTGTATAAGCTTGGATATACAGTGGGGATCGAACGTTTGGGCACCCCAGCTAAAAATTTGTATTAATGTGCATAAAGAAGCCAAGGAAAGATGGAAAAATCTCCAAAAGGCATCAAATTACAGATTCGACATTCTTATAATATGTCAACAAAAGTTAGATTTTATTTCCATCATTTACACTTTCAAAATAACAGAAAACAAAAAAATGGCGTCTGCAAAAGTTTGGGCACCCTGCGGAATTTATAGCATGCACTGCCCCCTTTGCAAAGCTGAGACCTGCCAGTGTCATGGATTGTTCTCAATCATCATCTGGGAAGACCAGGTTATGTCAATCTCAAAGGTTTTAAATGCCCAGACTCATCTGACCTTGCCCCAACAATCAGCACCATGGGTTCTTCTAAGCAGTTGTCTAGAAAACTGAAACTGAAAATAGTTGACGCTCACAAAGCTGGAGAAGGCTATAAGAAGATAGCAAAGCGTTTTCAGATGTCAATATCCTCTGTTCGGAATGTAATTAAGAAATGGCAGTCATCAGGAACAGTGGAAGTTAAAGCAACAGCTGGAAGACCAAGAAAAATATCAGACAGAACAGCTCGCAGGATTGTGAGAAAAACAATTCAAAACCCACGTTTGACTGCACAATCCCTCCAGAAAGATCTGGCAGACACTGGAGTTGTGGTACACTATTCCACTATAAAGAGATACTTGTACAAATATGGTCTTCATGGAAGAGTCATCAGAAGAAAACCTCTTCTACGTCCTCACCACAAAAATCATCGTTTGAACTTTGCAAATGAACATATAGACAAGCCTGATGCATTTTGGAAACAAGTTCTGTGGACCGATGAGGTTAAAATTGAACTTTTTGGCCGGAATGAGCAAAGGTACGTTTGGAGAAGAAGGGGGCCAGAATTTAATGAAAAGAACCTCTGTCCAACTGTTAAGCATGGGGTTGGATCAATCATGCTTTGGGGTTGTGTTGCAGCCAGTGGCACAGGGAACATCTCACGAGTAGAAGGAAAAATGGATTCAATAAAATTTCAGCAAATTTTGGATGGTAACTTGATGCCATCTGTGAAAAAGCTGAAGTTAAAGAGAGGATGGCTTCTACAAATGGATAATGATCCTAAACACACCTCGAAATCCACGGGGGATTACATCAAGAGGCGTAAACTGAAGGTTTTGCCATGGCCTTCACAATCTCCTGACCTCAACATATTGGAAAATCTATGGATAGACCTTAAAAGAGCAGTGAGTGACAGACAGCCAAGAAATCTCAAAGAACTGGAAGACTTTTGTAAGGAAGAATGGGCAAAGATACCTCAAACAAGAATTGAAAGACTCTTGGCTGGCTACAAAAAGCGTTTACAAGCTGTGATACTTGCCAAAGAGGGCAGTACAAGATATTAACTCTGCAGGGTGCCCAAACTTTTGCAGACGCCATTTTTTTGTTTTCTGTTATTTTGAAAGTGTAAATGATGGAAATAAAATCTAACTTTTGTTGACATATTATAAGAATGTCTAATCTGTAATTTGATGCCTTTTGGAGATTTTTCCATCTTTCCTTGGCTTCTTTATGCACATTAATACAAATTTTTAGCTGGGGTGCCCAAACTTCGATCCCCACTGTACATCTGGCCAACCTGTTAGCCAATATTTTCGTGAATATCTTGTAGTCAGAGTTTTATAAAGCTATAGGGCGATAGTTATCTGGGAGGGAGTGGTCCTTGTCTGGCTTGGGAATCACCGAGATATATGTGCGTGTAAATTCATTGTGTGGGGGTCAAAGAAAGCATCAAAAGCTGCCTTCTGGAAGGGAGGGTGGACATCAGGGGCTAGGCAATTATAGGGCTTTTCATAATATTCCCCAAAAACAGTAGCCATTACGTGCGGGTCATATGTGGGTTTGCCATCCGTATGGAGTAGGTGAAATGGCAGCGAGGCAGATATCTGAGATTTGTGTATTTACAAGCATGCGGTGTGATTTGTTAAAGAATTTCTGCTTAGCCCAAGCAAGGGACTGGGCAGTTTTGTGGAGGTCAAGGGCTCTGATTTTGACGCGTAAGTGGGATAATTTCCGAAGCCAAAATATAGATGGTTTGTCTAGTAGCCGTCTTTCGGCTAAGGACAGTTGTCTTAAAAGAGATTGGTGCTAACCGAGGCCTTCTTCAAACGAGCGCCTATAGAGATACATAGACAACTAAAGACAGCCTTGTGAGCCTCCCATAGGGTTGAAAATGAAGCAACCGAACCAATATTGCATTGAAAATATGCGTCCAACCCCTGAGAGAGTTCCTCTCGAAGGTGGTCCGAATGCAAAAAACTCTCATTGAGGCGCCAGTGACTTTAGGGGGGGAGGTAGGGAAAAGGAGATTAAGTGTTAGTGAAGCATGATCTTACCAAGTTATAGGGTTGATCTCGGAAGAGACCAAAAAGGGGAGCAGGGGAGCGGTGACAAAAAA